TTTCAGTTTTCAACCTACTATGATTTCCTTCTTGTACCAACCTTGGTTTAATGCATTTTAGCCGTTGCATGTCTGTAAAATTGGATAATATGTGATATTGATTAAGCGTAAAAGACATGTACCAAAATATCACATTTCACAACAAGTGTGCTTAGTTATGTCTTACTAGTTACTAGTATTCGTTTTTTTCCCCCTTTAATCCTTCCGTTGACCATTACTTTTATCATGCATAGAAATAAAAGTTCAGATATGTATTTTCGTTAAAATAATCATTTAGGGGATGGTAAACCGAAAAACGGGAAAAGAAAATCAAATGCAAAATGTACGATTTAAATAAGGTGCAATTCTTCTAGGGAACACGTTTATTGGGGACAAGGGTGTTGGCCTGTTGGGTGCTACTGCCTTGACTGGAAAACAAAGATGAAAAGAAGAAACTGAAACTAAAAAACACCATCAAAGTCAAACTGACCTATATATATTCTACATTTCTTTCTGATTATAGATCTCTTTCGAAAACTACCCAGTAATCATCGTTCCACCTGGATCAGTAAGAATCTCAAGGAGCAACGCGTGCGGAAGTCGTCCGTCAATTATACTCGCAGTTCTAACACCTTGAGCCAGACATCTCACACAGCATTTCACTTCGGGATCATACCACCACCAATCTTCCCTTCATCAATCATCCGCTTCACACCTTTGATATCTATTTCCTTCACCAAACTACTCGGTCCTCCCGATCCTCCAAAATCCCAGCTACACCGGTTAAAAGTATCAACTTCTCCGCTGAAAAGGCCTGGCTAACTCGCCAGCCACCGTGTCGGCATTGATGTTCGAAAAATGACCAAAACATGCTCCTCAGGTGGTGGTGTAGGCAAAACTATGGCTAGGTTTTCGGAGGAAGAAAGAAATATGTTTCTCGCAATTGGTAAATGCGAAAAAACCAACTTCCGCATTCAACAAATGCGAAAATTTATTGAATTAATTACAATGGATTAAAGACGTTGGATTAAAATTGGATAATTATAATTATTATAAGTGTTCGCATATGTCGTCATATGCGAAAATTAACTTTTCGCATATGCCATATGCGAATGTTTTAGTTTTTTATTTAAAAATTGTTTCTTAACTTTAAATTGGTATAAAATGAAATGTTGTAAATTAAATATTTTGGTTGATAAAATGTTGTAATATTTCAAAAAAAATGCTATTTTAATTGAAAATTCAATTTTCTAAATTTAAAGTTTTCATTTGATTTAAGTAAATTTATGTTAGTTCTAAATAGAATTGCAATGCTACAAATTATATTTGGTGAACAGAAATCGTATAATGCATTTATAATAAAATTTGAATAATAAGTAAATTAAAATTTCGGTGAAAAATTAGAATATAATCTTGCCTTTTGTAACCAAGTTTGCTTTTTAAAAAAATTGACTTTTATTTGGTTTCAATTTAAAAACTTACCATCATTAAAAATAAAATGTCAAAAAATCAAGTTTAGTAAATTTTGGATGATAATTTTTTTTACATAATAACACTTAGAATCAATTTATTCAAAGTAAGGAAAAAAACTAAAATTTTTAGAATCTGACATAATATAAAGGAAAATGGCAAAAATATAATGTGGTCAATGGCCTCAGATCACATTCCCACAGTACTACAATGAACGCTGAACAAGAAAGTGCTTCAATAAAACGTTCTTAAGAGGTTGCTTCCAAGAGGCTCTTCCAGGTTGACGGTTAGCCAATGGTACATGGCAGCCAAGAAACTTGGCATTGACACCATCAGGAACAATCATGTTTTCTTGCTTCCATCTAACATAATCAGTCCTGCTAAACTTGGTAAAACCACACTTCCTTCCAACAATGATCTTTTGGCGACCTGGAAAATTGAATTTGGCACGACGCAAAAGATAGTATTGTATAAAAGTAAGAGTTAAAAAAATTGTACATGTCTTTTTGATAAATTTTCTTCTTTAATGTTTGCCTTTTATTTTTGTTAAACTTAAAACTATTGTATCATTTTAAAAATTCAAAAGCTCAAGTTTACTAAAGTTAATAAAAAGAAATGAAAGGCATTGTTTAAAACTAATAACAAAAGTCATAAAATAGCATAAAATAAAAGTACAATTCAATCTAATTTTTCTACATCTTGCGCTTTTTCTCCCGAGAATCTGTCATGCAGCACTTTTTCTTCTTCTTTATGTTCCGCTGTCCCTTACTCAAAGCAAGCGGTGTAAAAGGCATGGTACCATCACTGGGGCCCTGTCTCGGGCACTGGCTCGAGCCCTCACCCTGATCAACGCCCTCATCATGATCATGAGAGGAATGCTCAGCATCATCAGAATCATTGGTGCTCTCATCATCATGCTCCTGATCCCGATTATCCTCATGATCCTGATCATGCTCCTGATCATTATGGATATGGTCACTGCCTAGATGCTGACTGTGATGACTACCCTCATAACTAGTCTCAAAGAAACCCCCGCATTAGGATCTAGATTAATAAAATCTGAATCAAAATGCATTTGCTCAAAAGGAGGAGAGGGATGGTGGTGTGGCGATGTTGGATGGTAAGGAGACACATGCGGGTAGAAGATGGCCCGCCAGTATCCTGGGTGGCCCCAGGTTTTCTCATCCTCCCACTCCCTAACTGGAACCCGCCTCTGTCAGTCCTGGGAGGCCTAGGTGGGATATACTCCTGGGTTGGGTCAGCCGGAACAAAATCTTGGCTTGGGTTCTCACTATCAGCCCAAACAGATGTCTTGCTGACAGTCATTGCCTGCTGTGTCGAATCGTGCAGCTGTAGGAAGGCATTGTGATTCCAAGAATCAGCTGGATTACGTTGTAGCCCATCTAGAGTAATTTGCCGCATGTTTTGCACTAAATTGGCCTGGAAATTATGAGAGGAAATAAATATATGGTAAATTAAAAATATATAATAAATAAATTTTATAAATTAACATATATATGGTAAATTAAAAATATATAATAACATTTTAGAAAGTTATATGTATAAAAATCATATTAATATGGGTGTGATTAAAGAAATAGTAAAAATATAACTTACCATTATATGTAGTGACTCAGCAGATCCCTGAAAACCCTAGGGCTAACGATAGTTTGATGGATTGGTGACCAAAGTGACAGTGCAATTTTGATACCACACTAGGTATTCCGGTGCTGCATGGGGTTCAAGAGTCATATCGGCCTGAAGGCCTGCAAGGGTGTTGTGTCGAGTCTCCCACCTCTATAAGACGTCATCTCGAGATTTCTTACCACGCGTCTCCTTATGCAACTTTTCTATTTCTTTTTTCTCCATGATGAAAGGTTTGTCAGGCACCCGCTGCAAGAAGCCGAACTGGCACAACACCCTGCCTGGGATGTGTGGCTCTCGGATACCAAAATAAAGCAGCCATGTCTGGAACATCCATATGGTGGAGCCAGCAGAGCAAGATGGATCAATGTCTGCAAGGGTAACGGGAGAATATGGCGTCCAAACGAACTGGAGAGGGACAGATATATACAAATAATTTATGTGAATATATACAGAAATTGAAAAAATTGATTTATACGTTATGATGGTTAAAATAAAAAATACTTACATTATGTTCTTGCAAAACCGCAAGCTGGTCTCGGTAGGCGGTTAGATTGAATCGTGTGATGTCTCCCACTTTTCTAGGACGGTTCCACCAACAAATAAAATAGTTTTGATTGAAAACACGGAAAAAATCGTCAAAAAATATAACCAATTAAGATAATTATTGAATAGTTGAAAAAAAATTTACCTCCTGCCCAAGGGACACCCCTGAAGATCTGGTGCAGGCCCACGTAACTCCGGATGGAAAGTCAAAATCCACTCCCAAGCCCATATCTAATTTGCAATAAAATAATACATAAAATTAAAAATATGAATACAATAAATAAAAAAACTAACAATAAAATACAAATACCATAAATAGGAATCTAACAAAATATTACAAATAAGGAAAAATAAAAATAAAACAAAAAATACGAATAAAATAAATAAAAAACTAACAATAAAATACAAATACCATAAATAGGAATCTAACAAAAAATTACAAATAAGGAAAAATAAAAATAAAACAAAACAATACAGGTCAAGCAGCTCTCTTCATCCACAAGGGCAAACGCGATGGGAACAATTGTGTTCTTCGAGTACTTCACACATGCCGTGATCAATTTTGCTTTGTATGAACCTCGGAGGTGGGTGGCGTCTACGGTTATGACCGGCCAAGCAGCTATAAATAAATGTATAGCGGGCCCAAATGCCCAAAAAATGTACCTGCATACCTTCTTCTTCCGATTCTTGGTATCTTTAGTGAACTTAAAGTGCATACGGGTATTTGGATTCGCTCTGAGCAATACTTCCCAAAAACTGGGCAGTTGTTGAAAGTTGCTTTCCCATGTGCCATACAGACTCTCAAGTGCTTTTCTTCGACCATGCCATGCCTTTTTGTAATTGGGGGTGACCCTGTATCTCTTATTTACTTCGATTTGGATCTGCGCGACTGAATAACCTGGATCTTTTCGGACATTGGCTGTAATCAATCGAGCAATCATTGTGGACGTCAAGTTTCAAGATTCGTTTCTTGTGGCTGCACCAAGACAGTTGTGGCTCTCGATCCATACCACCATTCTCCAAGTATTTGTGTCTTTTTGTAGGGTAGCTCGACATTTCCACAAGCAAGTAGTGTCGTGGAGAAGTTCTTCTGGGTACTTCGGCCCTTTAGTCTCGCATTCAGCGGCCCACGTATAGGGACGGCTATATTTTACCCGACATGCCCGACCCTGTCGCAATGACCATTCCCCCATAGCTGTTCGTACCTCTTTCTTGTTAGCAAAATGCACACCATGTCTAACCGTCTGCCAATTACCGTCCCACATTGTGATCCCATCAGAATCCTCATGCAGTTCAGACTTGTCCATGTCATTGATGTTGTCGAAAATAGAAGGTACTACTGAAGATGCGTCATGGTCACTTTAATCATCATCAGACTCATCGAACGACACATACTCCTCGTCACTGCTTGCCTGTACGTCACCTTCTGTCTCATCGCCATCTTCATCTGTACCACCAACACCACTAGTCCCTGCACCATCATACTGACCACCACAAGTTCCTTCCCCAACATCTTGAACAGGTTCATCTGCAACCTCTACATACAATGTTGGACGCAAATGGGCAACTCGGTAAATCCATGACATTGACTCGTCATCTCTTATGGGCGCTTGCCCCCTTCTGCCGTACCCATCTGTGCAGGCTAAAACATATTGCAGAGGAAGTATTTTTGGGTTCTTAGAGTCCAACAGCATGTGTACATAATTATCAAGTTCAGAGAAACTCCACACTCGATCGATACGAATTGTTGCATCGGGCAAAAATAACTTATCTCCATCTCCCCAACAAGATAGATCACTGGACCAGAATATATTCAGATCGAAGGGACCCGGAAAAGACATATTAAGGGCCTGCACATTTAATTTTTGTTCAATTAAACATACAAATACATCAATTTATGTTTGTTATAACAATATTCTACCTCACTAGCAGTAATATACTCCAAATAACGGTACAATAAGTCCTATCTTTAGTGAAAAATCTCTAACATAATTTAACAATTCAAAAAATATAATTCGACATCTATATAACAAAGTTTTCAATTGAAATAAGAACAAATTTTGATCAAACAAATAAATTTAGTTTACACAATGTATTTAATCGATTAAAACTAAATTTATTCAACTATACATGAATTTAGCACTCAACATTAATGATAAAATATAAAATTAACAGAATAAAAAAATATAAAATAGGGTCAAATCAGTAACATTACAAATGATAAATTTATTCAACTATACATGAATTTAGCATTCAACATTAATGATAAAATATAAAATTAACAGAATAAAAAAATATAAAATAGGGTCAAATCAGTAACATTACAAATGATTGGGTCAGAATATAAAATTCACAAAATTGAGGGATAAAGACCAAAATTCGAGATCAACCCGGTTATCTCTAAATTAATAAAAATAACTCATAATATTCAACAAAATTCAACGATTCACATCACAAAAATAATTTTTATTCTTCATTCTACATCAAATATATATTTATTTTAGCAAATTTTCTAAAACCAATTCTCAATAACTACCTAAATTATTAAATTTAGTAATTTCGTACACCAAAACACCATTAGTAGCCCCAAATAACAATAGAATGTATAAATTTTACAAATTTAATAGAGAAAAAAAAAACTTACCTAAATGGGTTGCCTCTGTCCTGCTCCCGTTCAGTCCAACCATCCAACCTTCAATCTGAAGAATGCCTTTTTCCTGCTCTGCCTCTTCCACCCGAATGAAAATTTCAACTGAATGCAAGAAGAAAAAATTGATGGATTTTAGTTCTGCCGTATCTGGAGTGGTGATGAGTTTTAAATTATGACTCTAGACATCACATTCGCATTCGCTAAATGCGAACATCTATCTAAATTGTCAGCAATTGCCACGTATCGATAAGATATCGACCAATCAGATTTTAATAGGATAAAAAGGTAATTCCGTATTTTTATACGCTAAAATTTGTTGTTCGCATTCGTAGAATGCGAAAAGCTTATGATGGCTCACACCTTTTCTCTTCCTTCCGTGTCTGCTTTAATAATTCATATATTAATTCATTTGCATTTGTCGAATGCGAAATTTGTGTGATGGCCCACACTTTTCTCTTTCCTTTTGTGTCTGCTTTAATAATTCATATATTAATTCATTCGCATTTGTCAAATACGAAATTTATGTGATGGCCCACACTTTTTCTCCTTTCTTCCGTGTCTGCTTTAATAATTGTTATATTAATTTATTCGCATTTATCGAATGCGAAAACTTGACCGGATAAAATATTTTTTTTATCTCTTTTGTTAATATTGTTTGCTTAAGTTGAACTAATTACTTACGTAAACATCTTCGCATATAGGAAATGCGAAAACCAATTTGTTCGCATACCACAAATGCGAGAAACATATAAATTTCTACCTCTCCAACCCTAAGAACAACTTTTTCTACCAACTAAAATTTGGGGTATATTAATCTCACGGACCCCATTGATGTTGTATGATTGACCGGTTTCATTCGCAGCAACAGAGGCAATCACTGGTATGTGATTGTTATCAATGAGCGGTTGTAGTATTGAAGGATCCACACTGGCAATATCCCCGACAAAGCCGAGTTGATCGGAATCAGGACAAGGCCTTGCAGTGAGAAGATGACCATCAATCCCGCATAACCCGACGGCAGTAGCTCCAGCCTTGTTGATCAAAGCAACAAGATGCTTGTTTACTTTTCTTACAAAAACCATTGAGGCGACTTCCATGGTCGCGGCATCAGTGACCCGGAGTCCATTGACAAAGTTGGCATCGAGCCCTAATCGACCAAGGAACTGGTTGATTTCAGGACCTCCACCATGAACCAAAATAACCCGAAGACCAACAGATGAAAGTAGAACCAAGTCGGAAATGACGGAAGCCTCGGACTTCATCGCCGCACCTCCATACTTGACAGCAATTGTCTTGCCGCGAATTCAAGGGAACTCTCGAAGCATGATCTGGAAAAGCTATGAGAAGGATTGCTTTTCTGTTTCCAGTCTTTTAGGCTTTTTTGTGCCAGGATAGGATGAGGTTGAGGAGTCACTATTGATTTAAGGGAACTCTTGAGGCATAATCTGGAAAAACTATGACAAGGATTGTTTTCCCCTCCCCAGTCTTTTAGGGTTACAAAACTTGCTGGGGTGGACTTGGTATTAGGAAATACAGAGAATTTTGGTACAAGGGACGACAGGGGGAAAACTGTACTAGAGAACATCTTGTTTATAGGTGGTCGCTGATGACGGAGACGAAGGCGGGAGGCGGCAAAGAAAGTGAATAATTAATAATGTAACTTCAAAAGTCAGATTTCCAAATTATCACACGTCTAAAATTTTGACGAAAACAATACTATTGTCGTGAACACATGAAAAAAATTATCAGTACCACTATTTATATAGGGCTTTAGTCAGCCAAAAACTCTTTAAAGCCTAAAAAAAAGTTGGTTTTGGACTAAAAGACCTAACAACTTCCTAAAACAAATTATGAACTATTACTATATAAGTGAATAATTATAATTGTCACAGTTATTTTAAAACTATTAAAATCCTCTAAAGACTGAATAATTAAAGCCTCATATGTCATATGACCGCGGGGGGAGGGGGGAGAAGGGGAGGGAAGAGGGAAACTTCGTAAAATTGAGGGTCTTTATTTGTGCAAATCGTAATTCTGTATGATTTTAGGAATCAGGGCGATTCTATCGCTAGTCTGCCGCATAAGTTAAGCCAAATTTATAAATTTATTTTGTGATTCCTTTTAAACTCTTTTCGCTTGTGATCAGGGACGTGCACTGTATAACTAAAATATCTTTTGCCTTCGGTTTTCTAAACAAAGCAAAATGGTGAAGAGATAGTAAGCATCAACAAAAACTGTTGGTACTAAAATGTAATATAATTAGAATAATGTTATCTTTAACAACACTTAACTTTATGGGCCCAAACAACAATTTTGAAAGAGAGAAAAAAGAACACTGACCGTTGGACAGAGCCTAAACTTAGAGGAACAAATACGCGGAGTGATGAGGGGGGCCTCAGATTACTGGGCCTTAGAAATGCATATTTATGAACATATTGTACAAGATATATATAGTTCACCTATAGTTTTGAATTTTTATTTTTTTTTGGTATGGTTTTGAAATTTGAAGTACAAATGTCAAAACGAGTAATTTTAACAGTACAAATATACAATAAAAGAATGTTTTAACAGTTTGGAAGCTTGGAAGCTTGAACCAAACTTGTAGCAGGTTCACCACGTATCTTTTGTTAGGCCCATACTGTTGATTCTGACGAGCCCAACAAAGATACATTTCGCAATAGTACTACAAAAGTTTTACACATTCTTCTAAGGCTTTTGATCTTTGTCAAACGAGGTCTCTTCGTTTGTAAATAATAACGTCTTTTATAGGATTAAAACATTACTTCACTGCAATTGGCAAGTTTCGTTAAAGCATACAAGGAGATGGAATAATGAAACCGCAGATACCTTAGCGAAATTTGAACTATCTTACCCAATTCGGGAACATATTTTGTCCACATCTCCCCGCTAGTATTAAGGAGAGGGTAGAATTAGATAGGACCAATTCATCCCGAATTACTCGGAATGCCGTTAGTTAAGCGTTTAGCTTCCCTTCTATATATATATATATATATATATATATATATATATATATATATAAAGGTTTTACACATTTTCTTTCAAAACTCAAATATCAAAAATAATAAATAAGGAAAGAATTACAAACCTTTATCGAGCTACACTTTATTTAAATAATCCAAAAAAAAAAAATGGAAATCTTTGTGCAGGTAAAATGAGCATTTGACTCAGAAATCAAGAATTTCACGATGAAAGAAAGACTTGTAACATTCACATGAATTGGTTGAAATTAAATGGTTCAATATTAAAAGTTTTTTTTCCCTTTTTTTTTTTTTGTAAAAAGAAAGATTAAATCACCCTACTTTTGAAAGTGGGGAAAATTAGCTAGGGTGAGTGGTGTACTGAGTGGACGTAGAATGGATGAGTAAATATATCACTTCATTGACAGTCCTAATTCGGAAGTAACAGCAACCTGGAATGAAGGTACAAGGTTATTGTTCATCTTTTGCCCAAACTATATAGAGAAGAATAATTACGTACTGTCATCTTAATCTGTTTATAAATACTAATGATTAGCAGGCAGATATTACCTTGGACTGTCTCTCTAAATGAGGACTACGTCCGACTTTTGAGACATGTTTCATGTCGGAACAAAAGGGGGAATGCCAAAACGGGGAGAGTCTGATCTACTTGAAAGATATGTAGGATAATAACTAGGAGTCTAGGAGATATTTGCCTTGGAAGGACTCCATCATGATCAAGTCAGGATTAGTTTGTGTGGGATTTCACCACTTATATATCAAGGATTATGTCAATTTTCATCTGAAGAAATTAAAATCCGGGGGATGCTTCAGGATTATGCGTATTCATCAATTGTGCATTCTGGGGAGGTAATTTATTTGTGAATGGGTGGTGATTCATCTAACTTTTGGGGAAATTCTATCTTTTTCGGTTCGACTTCATTTCAAAACTTCGTTTTTCTTGTTTGCCTTCTTACTGCAGCTGCGAAGGCCAATCATTCCAGTGATAATAAACAAATGGTACAAAGCTCCAACACGAATCCGCCACCAAATTCCGCTAGCTCTGATTTTCTCACAGTTCGATATTACACACTAGTGTAGATACACAAGGATTCAAACCCTAGAAGAACCGAGTGCAAATCTAGACTGTTAAAGATAAAAGATACATGCGGCATCCAAAGTTTGGGGAACGATTCCAGGTATATCTCAAACCGCACAAGAGATCTAACCCCCTACATCAAAAGACAAAACTCCACAACCATAACCATAATAAAAATTTTCCAAATTATCAGGCAAGCGGGTAACAGGAAGTCATGAGAATTTAACATATGGAGACAGCTACAAGTTGAACAACCAAACAGAGCATCTGATAATAATTCTTGGAAGTCGATCTCCAGTAACAACGGAGTCAAAACTGAACTAAAACAACGCTTATCTAAATAATACAGCAAAATTTGCAATTGGATAGAAACTGAGTAACATCACTCCTCATCATCGATAACTTTGGTACCCAACCCCGAGAATCCTTCTGGAACCTCAGTTACAGTGACCAGCGAGTAGAACTCTTCCTTGGCATCTTCGTCATCATTTCTCTTACGAGCAATGCGCACACGGACTCTTCTTGGCACACTTCTAATTCCACGGCTCCAAATGAATTTGTTAAGCTTCACATCAACTCTCACATCATTTGTTCCCATACTCTTCTGAGCAAACTTCCTGATCTCCTTGATGGCTTTGGGAGCCTTCTTCTTAAATGTGCTGCACAATCAAAGGCAAACTCGTTATACAAGATCAAGGCGCAAATGCAACCAAAAGATTTCATGAACACACTACCGCGTAACAGAACATGACAGGGCACCTTAAAGCTAAGGCATTGATGAAACTACCAAAACATCAGATTTCACCAGCATACAAGGCTTCTTAAAAAGGCACCACTCCACATTATTATGTTCACACAACAAAAACATCAGATTTCACCAACATACAATGCTTCTAAAACAAGCACTACTCCAGAATATGTTCCCGTGGTTTCTACCATCAGAAAATAAATATAGCACAGAAAGAAAATTGATCTGTTATGTTGCACGAACTGAGACATAAACTCAATATTGAAAGGGAGGAAATTATCAAAGGTTTTACATACAAAAAGGGAATAAAGATATAATATCACCCACAGGGCAACAAATGAAAGGCAAAATAAACATCATAGTTCAGAAAGGTTCCTAATTATGTTGACGGACCAGTTTCAGAAACTTAAGCTAATAAATTGGGGAGGTGCCAATGATAAACAACTCAGTCCCTTAGATGTTCATAATGTGTTGCGATCATTTTCGCAAAATCATTACAGGTCTGTAGTAGCTCGTCACCATTGCTTAATCAGCACCCCCACCAACAAAATAACCAGGTAAACAAAGCAAACATATATTCACTTGAAATTAGAAGTTACACATCCGGTACGCTACTAACCTATGAAGATGTAAACATACACTATCACAAACCAAACAAAGAAGATTAGAAACAAGTTCTAAAAATCAAATCAATAGAATGCCACCACAAAATAAAGAAACATCAAAACAGGAAAAATCTGCCCACATTTCACCGACAACTTCCACCCTCCTTCCCAAAAACGGTTACAGATTTGCCAGAAAACTGATAAATTTTCAGTGTATAAACAATTAAATCGCTTTTATATGCATCCACAAGCAAGTCCAAGCACAAATGCTCATATTAGTCTTAAACAGGGGCAAAACATCATTCATAAGAATCCCTAAATCAACTTGTATTTATACAGAAGTTTTAGAAAAGATCTTTGATTCAAACCAGGGCAGCGGCTTTCTTTAGCACTAAAAAAACAACTTAGACATTCCAATACAAGCCCCATTTTCAAGGATTTATTATCATCTTAAGCGCACAACCCAACAACCAAACCATAAAATTCCATCAGATGACGAACAGCAAATAATCCAAATATCTGATCGCAATACAGAAACAAGTCAAAGATACATTTTTTAATCCATCAGAAAAGCACTTAAATTACTTTAAAACAAAAGCTCCATCCGTAAATCTGCACGCACACAGGCCCAAGGAAATGATTCCCAAAAATTGAAAAACATAATCATTAAGTTTAAAATTAAATAGCGTCTTCAATCTGTGCATCTTGCAGAGATCAATTCAGAAGAGTCTTAATCAAAGGAGCATATTCAAGTTGAAGAACAAGAAAGACAGAGAAACGCACCATCCGTGCAGGCGCTTGTGGAGATTGATGGTGTATTCCCTGGTAACAACCTCCTCCTTCCTGGGTTTGCTTCCCTTTCCTGACATTTTTGCCGATCTTCGTCTTCTTCGTCTCCCTCTAAAACCCTAAACGGCGCTGGTTTGCTCCGAAGATGTGGCCGCTGAGAAAACCCTAAGATAAATTACTGGAGCTATTTATATAGCGGAGTGCGGAGCGATATGTGACTGTGTTTCCAAATTTGTTTATATTTATAAAACGGTTCGAATGTGAGTAGTAATTGTTATTTTACCCGAAACTTTACTTTCTTTCATAATTTGAACACCAATTTCTTTTTGTTATTAATATAAAATTGTAGTATCAATTTCTTTAACATTTTCAAATCATGCTTAAGCATATTCAATATTTTCATTTACTACTTTGATTAAAAGAACTACCACTCAAAAACTTGTTTCCTTATCCCCTCAAAAGGAAAACTCGAACCATATTTTACAACTAATTTACTTTTTCTACAGTGACAATGAACCCCAAAAAAAAAAAGAAAAGAAAATCTCAACTAATTTAATACGTAAATGATTTATTATGGAGCCTACAAAATTTCCCAATGCCAAATGCTTATGATTATGCTACAGGCCTACACCTAATGGAGTAGACTATTGTCTTTATTGTTCTTTTATTTTATTATAGTCTGAAATTGGAGTGGTTACATTTGATAAATATATGAAATTTATCAAGAAATTGAAAAACACTTTATATTTAATTCCATTCGTCCATTGTAGATATATTTTCCAAAAAAATTTACTACTTTACTTGTCAGCCCATTTTTTAGCGCCAAATGTATTTTGTGTTTTTGTAAGATTTTCGCATAGCCAAACGTATATATACATTATTATTATATTTCCTTCTACTACTACTACTACTATTATAATTATAATTATTATTATTATTATTATTATTATTGTTGTTGTTGTTGTTGTTGTTGTTGTTGTTGTTGTTATTGTTATTATTACTATTATTATTATTAGTAGTAGTAGTAATTCATGTTAAAAATGGCCTCCACGTAGGGTCATACAAAAGTCAGAACCTTGATATGTTTAGTACAATGGCAAATATTAATGAGTAATAAAAATAATGTGTTTTGCTCATTAACATATACTCCAATTGTTAAATTTCTGCTCTTTACTCAATTTAATTATAATTATTTTGAATTTTTTTTTAACAAATTCTGTACTCGCTGTCTCAGAAAAATAGTTTACATTGAGTTTTGAGATTTATAACAATGTGACATATTTTTTGGACCGAGAGAGTGTGTAATACCAGGAGAGTTGCTTGACAGAGATTTTTGTATGTTCAACCTCTTATTTTACTTTTTGTCTCATTTTCTCTCTTAAACACAAAACTTAATGCACTATCCCTATAACATTTTAATTTACCTTTTAAAAAAATATATTTAAACATTATTTTTACACAATTTTCGACACCTACCACCAAACCACTTCCACCACCGGCCACCACCGCCGGGCTGCCCCCTGCCGTCGCCGGAACGCTGGTGGTGGGCCGACGGCAGTGGGCGGTGGTGGCAATAGTGGAGGTGATCCAGCGGTGGTAGAAAAATACTATTCACACAACTTTTAAAATTTTCTCTCTAACCACATTTTAAATCTCCTCCCAAATTCAAACCAAAAACAAAAACAAAAACACTGTCTACATAAGCCCCTAGTGACTAGTGTGAGAGTACTCTTATAATCTAGATAGAAACTAAAGAAAGTGCTCTGTGTGTCTCTTTATTTTGTAAAAGTGTTGATAATATAAGAGACGGGGCTAATTGGTATGTTTTTATGACTTAGAGCACGTTCTACGCATTTGCCGTGTTTATTATGTTACGTGCTTTCATTCTCTGAAACTCACGTTTATCTTGTGTACTTTGATTCGGATAGGTTTGTAGCCATTTCTAATTGTGAGGTATAGTGTTAGCCATTTTTAGTCTTTTGTTGTACTAAGGTTCTTACTTTTGTTACATAGGCCGTTTTCGGGTTAAACTATGTGCTTGTTCTGGGGAGAGTTGGTTGCTCGTATCTCGCGTTCTCTACTGGGTAAAAGAGACTTGTGAAGAAAAACTAAGATTATAATATAAGAAAAAAGTACAATAAATTATGTGCTTAAAAAAATTCCACTTAACTTTTGAACACACCAAATAGTAGAATGCCCTTTTAATTTAAACAAAATTGAACGAACATAATAAAGATGTACTTTATAAAAGTCATTCCACAAAGAAAAAAACACTTTTGATCTGTATGTTTAGTAGCATTAACCAATTTCCGAATTCAACATATCTAGACACGTTATTTACTAAATAAAGTAACTTTTTCATTTTTTTCAGTTAAACTTTTAATGATTTTATAACAAAATTTAATGTAAATCAAGACCAAAATAAAAAACAAGACATTACCTGTACAAATTTGGAAAAAAAAATTGGTATCAAATACATAAGCTCTTTTCTGAAAATAAAAACAAGCACCTTTAAAGTTGTTGTTGTAAAATAAATGTTACCAAAAAATACAAAAAAAAAAAATGAAAATAGAAAAGCTTTGGAAAAATTTGTTTGTCAACAGAAAGTAGCTTAATGCTAGCTTTACTTAATTACAGGGGCTTAAATTGATATTTTTACTTTTAGTCGATAAATGTAATTTCCCAATATTTACCCACCAATTATTCCAAATTCACAATATTTCCGCTCTCAACTCCTTGTCGTCTGATTACTCTCGCGGTTACTCAATTCTCCGGCGTCTCTCAACATCCGTCAACTAACCGGCGACCATAGCGCCGCCTCTCGCCGCTGCACCCGGACTAATGTAACTTCGACAGCTTCCTTTTAATTATTGTAGTTTTTATGCTTGCATAATTATACTCCAATTATCAGTTTACCGTGCTAGGGTTTATCAGTTGGTGCTGTTGAGCTTCGTTGTAAACCTTGTTCAATTACTCTTGTTTCTGTCTCTCATTCTTTTGTTTTTTTTCCATGTCGTGAATTTCGCAGTTGGATTTGATTCCGGTAGTTGTTGCCATCAAATCATGGTGTGATTTCCTCTCCCCCGTTTTTTTTTTTTTTTTTTTTTTCCAGCTAGTGTGACGGTTACTTTACCGAAATAGAGATGCCGGATGTGATATCATGGAATTGAAAGGTTTTTGTTGTTTATGTTCTGAATGTAGTCTGGCCGAAAAGAAACTGTTCTGGATTTAGCAAAATTCGTGGACAAGGGAGTCCAAGTTAAGCTTACTGGTGGAAGACAAGGTGATATGAATATAAGAGTATTTTCGTATTTTTATTTTGACTAGATTTCCTATCTCGTGGAAGAACATTTCTGTGAAAAAGTTGATTGTATACTGATGTTTTTTGGCATCTGTTTTAAATGTTTACTTTCTGCTAAAAGAAAACCTTGTTTATACCCTCATTTGGTTTAGTCATTTAGGGTCTTAAGAAATGCTTGTTTTGTAGTGACTGGAACTCTAAAAGGCTATGATCAGTTGCTGAATCTTGTTTTGGATGAGGCTGTGGAGTTTCTGAGAGGTAATTCTTGTTCTGTTTCTATCTAGATGTCTCTGCAATTTTCTTATAGTTCTCTTTTGTCGAATAAGATTGCAGGTGTTCTCGATTTTGTGTTTTGGAATTTATTATGTTGTTTGTGTGCCGCTGATCTGAAGTGTAACAGATCATGACTACTTTCTGGTATTTTTGCTTATAGTTTTCCTCTTTATTTCATTTGGTCCTGATGCCTGTTGTGGTGATCATAGTTGTGGAAATAATTATTTCACTTATTATTAGCTCCATCTTATTGTTGTAATGCAAAAAATTTGTAACCATTCGTGTTAGCTAAACATTAAAAAGAAAAGAGAAGCATTATTGTTCTAAGGTTTGATGGAATCTGTAATTGACATGTCTGAGTTAGTGGTCATGATAATTTGGTTCCATTGTTTACTTGTGAATATTACGAGCACATCGAAGTAGTTCTTCTACAAAGTCATGTACTGGTGAACCAATGTAAGCTGTTACTCCCTTCATAACATGATATTCTGATTTTGAAGTCTAGTTTTCATTCATTTTGTTGTTGTTGTTATATTATAGACTCTGGTAATGTCTCGGAGTTGTGGTATAAAATGATTTTTCATTCTTACTGTTGTATGTTCCATCTTGGATTAAACTTCCTTCCTGGACGTTCTGTTGTTTGTCACCTTTTAATACAATTTCGTCAGCATGTTGATGACAATAGTAGTAGATGAAAGAACTGTGTTGTATTTGAAATTGCAAACTTTTTGCTACTAAAGATAATTTCCTGGCTGAATCAAACTTCAACTGTGCAATCAATTAAATATGCAGGGGATCACTATTTTATTGCTTCATCACATTTTACTTAAGTACTCTGACTAGCCTTTTCATTTAGGATTACTTGCAATTTTAGAAGATATTTCCCTCCAGAGAGTGGTGAAGTATCCCCTAGTTCCTATTCTATTTACAGTCGGAGGGAGGCCTCATCCGTTTTATGATTCTTGGTGGTTTGCAGGGGCTATCTTGGCATGAATTCATGGAACTAATCTAGGCTGTTTGACTCCCATACTTTAATTGCCTTCTCGATTTACTAGGGGATTTATTTGTTGTAGCATTAAGAGGACTGTTTTGGATTGCAGATCCAGATGATCCGTTGAAGACTACTGACCAGACTCGACGCCTTGGCCTGATAGTAAGTGTTTTGATGATATATGCTCATTTCCTGTTGCATTGTTCCTGATAGAATCAGCCATACTTGAAGTTTGTTTAAAAGATTAAATTTGGATCCAATTATGATATTTTTTCCTCCTTTTCTATCCTTCTTCTGACACTATGCAATTGATGACACTTGCAATATATGCAATTTTCCTGTTTGATTTACCTTGCCACATTTTCAAATTGTATAGAAAGATGATGGAAAATTTCTTCTTGTCATTTTTTAGCTGTCAATTTTTTCCTTGCGTAGACCAGGCTTCAATTCTTTTTTTTCTCGACTAGGTGCTGCCAGTGACATCTTTAATGTTTTTCTGCTCTTGTAAAATTCAGAAAGTACTAAGATTTTTGTCATCCATGATTCCTGTTTTGGATCTTTGTCTTTGTGGCATTGCCTATAAATTGGGCTATCGACATTTGCTGACTACCCCGCATTTCACTCTGCTTCCCAATGGGGTTTGAAAGGATTTTCATGTTCTGTTTATTTTATAGATGTTTGTTCTGCTTCCTACTGCAGGTTTGTAGGGGTACTGCAGTGATGCTTGTTTCACCTACTGATGGTACAGATGAGATTGCCAATCCGTTTACCCAACCAGATGGAGCATAGATCTTTTTGTTCTTTTCTGCAAACTTTGGAAATCATCTGACCGTGCGAAGTACTTAAAGCTCACACGAGGTTGTCTTGCTATTTCTCTGGCTTAAGATTTCATCCAGTGTAGGAAATTAGATCAGTTGCACTGGGTTAATACAAACTGTTGTAATCTTCTTCTAGGGGTTCCATGTCCTTCCCTTATGGAAAGGGTTGCATGGAAATTTAAAAATGACTATGTAATGTGTATTCTATTAGGGTACTTCCTTAAAAAAATCCATGAATTGAAAGTTTAATATGATGAAATCGCATCCTGGTGTTTATATGAGTATGTGAGAAGTAATTCTTTGTTACAATATGCTAAGTTGCAACATTTCTAGCCTAAATATATAAATAATTGAAGAAAAATTGCATTCGTAATTTCTTGGTTTGAAGTTTGAATGAATCTATGTATTTTACTAATTTATGCATGTTGAGATAAATAAAAAAAAAATTAAAAAAAAGGGAAAAAAAAGAAGAAAAACAATAATCATACTTATTCTGTCCCACAACCAAAATCTCTCAAAACATGCCTCTAACACAATTCTTCCTTGGGAGTTAACTAGAATGGAGCTAAGAAGCGAACACAGTGAAGGATTCCTCGGAACAAAAAAATCGAACCATCTCTCTCATTTCCCCATATACAAAGACTGAGAGTGTAGGAATGAGAATTAGGTTTCAAATTAGACTCCAGACATAGACGTTTTAAAAAACTAAAGTTAAATTTCCTTTTTCTTTTTATTAATAGTTAGTTGAATTTCCTTTTTCTTTTTTATTAAAAGTTAAATTGCGAGCCTAAACTTTTCCCAAATGATGAGTGCTACTTCTGAGTTCTGATGCAAGAAATTTTTATTTTTAAAAATTATTATTTTAATAAGTACGATTCAATAAGATTAGAGTTGACATTCTACATTTAGGAAAAAGTTGGTGGTTGTATAATGGTATTTATTAGGATGGTGAGTGGGTGAGGACAGTAACACAAAATATACGAATTTTAAAGCCCGCAGGTTGCATTTATCAAAATAATTGTTGAAAATAGGGAAAAAGTATAGAAAACTCTCAATATTTGAAAATTGGATTCGAATCAAATTCCTACTGAGCAGAAACAATTTGGTCTACCACCAGGAAACTTTACAAGGAACTATAATAGGGAATGATGTAGTTGAATCTTAATTATTTACTAATGTTTAAATCGATAAATCTGTAAAGATAAGTTTTAACTATGAACGGTTACGATTCATTCAGAGGTGGAAGCATATACAACCCAGCTGGGACAATTTTTTTTTGCTAGTTACCCTTTGAATTTTTATAATTTTTTTGTAAAAATATTGATATTTGCCCCATTTAAATTAAAATTATTAAGGGGCAATTATGTTAAATTAAGAGTTTTGAAAATTTTGCCCCATCATATCTACGGGGCTTAGCTTCGCCCTTGGATTCATTCCCTGTGGCAGGTACATTTTTATGGCCCTGCAATAATGGTTATTCTTTGGTAAACTGGGATTGTATGAATAGTATTTTGATTTAACTCAATTTACAATTTTATTAATTAAATTTCGATCTTTGTTATATAAAATTAGTTTTCAACACTTTAAATACTCCAATCCCTTTTTTAAAATTTTTTTGATTCAGTCTCTTATATTTGGCAAATAATTTTTTATTATTATATATGTATATATATGACATATAATATTTATATTTCATAAGAAGAAAAAGATATTTATATTTCTGACTTTAAAATTATCAAAATATAAGAATGAAGAAATGTACATGTGAACAAAAATTGCAAGGTATCCATCAAAAAGTTCAAAAGTTCTCTTTTTCCCACTTTTGAAATACTCCTACCTCATGATTCCATTCTCTATTTATTTTTTTCTTTCTAAAATTTGTCCGGAGAACCAGTCAAACATTTTGACTCAGCTTGAGTCCGAATTTGCCTCCAATCAAAATAAGACATGTGTTTCTCGAAACCCTAAAACGATTTAGGGGTCGAGAAATTTACTAAAAATGAAACAATAAATAGTACTATTATTTTTGAGCCGCGGATTATATTCCGCTCTATCTTGTCCAAAATTTCACAACAAAATTCAGAACTGGGAAATTCATACGTTACTTTGCTTTAAAATTTCCCAACTGCTCAGTAGCCTCGTCAGCATCTCCGGCGGCAGTAACCGCCTTTTTTTTTAATTTTTTTTTTATCCTTCTCGAGTTTATTCGTTTCTTCATTTTCTTTTAATTCTCTCTCTCCCCAGTTGGAATCAAAGCCTCTTCAAGTTCCTTCATTTTTGAAACTGAACTGCCCCTTTTGATGCCTGATTAATTGTCTTTGATTGATAACAAGTTACCACATTTCAATTGCATTTGTTTGAGCTCTTTGGAGTTTGCTTAATGTCCCTCCTGAGTCGTGAAATGCGAGCCTGTTTCTTGATTTGAAGAAACTTTTTGTCGCCGGATTGGTTATGGAATTGGCTTTTATCTACTGGGTAAGCTTTGCTGTATTCCCCTTCTGTTTTGATTCCTGCTTAATTTTTCATGTGGGATTGTTTGGTGTAAGCTTGATTTTTTTTGTGTCGGTGTATTGCTGCCTAAGTACAAAAATGCTATCTTTGTTTTTTTTTTGCTACGGATTTATTCCGTTTTCTGAGCATCTGTTGCATGCAATGGATGCATGTTCTTCAATTTGAACTAATGGGCTCATGTTTGTTTGTTGCAAACAATTGGGATTTGGAGGAATAATTGACTCTGCTTTGTGAAAGTATTCTGTTACTCCTTTTATCTCTCTCTTTGATAATTAGTATTTTTCAATCGCCTGTACTTTAGAGCCCAATTCTTCCTGTGAGGCATAACCGTACATACTGAACTGGGAATGGTTTGTTTTCAGGTGAAGCAGCATCTTATTCTATGCGTTTGAAATTTTGATTTTGAATTTTCCTTGTTTTTGTTAAGTTGATCAATTTGGGGCCTTCTTCTGTTCAGGAATCACTGTGACATTAGAAGTGAGGGGAAGTTGCAGTTGGTTAAGGTTCACAGAGTTTTTTTTGGCTTTGGTTGGTTCCTCTGCCTCCTTTGTAACCCCCCTCGTGTTTTTTCCTCCACTCCAAGAGATGAAAGATGATTCCTCTTTTTGGGTGGCAGATTCCGACAACCAACTATGTCGTCCCATGAAAAGGAAGAGAAACGGAGAGAGAAAAAAGGAATTCATCCGATGGGGATCCAAGCCTTTAATTGAGTTTCTAGAATCAATTGGGAGGGACACAAGCAAGGAGCTCAGTAGGCATGACGTAACTGCCATCGTGAATGAATATGTAACTGCCAGAAACCTAGCTGATCCAGTGAGGAAGAAGAAAGTTATTTGTGATCAATGGCTTCTTGCTCTTTTTGGGAAAAAGAAGGTTCCACGGATAAAATTTTTTGATCTCCTGGGAAGCCATTTTGCTGAAAATTGCAACAGTTCAGAGGATGATGTTCAATATAGTTCAGAAGAGGAGGAGAATGTGGGGAAGAACGATTCAAAATTAGGTCGGAAACCATCATCCCAGAAGCAAAAAGTTCACGTTAATCCAGAAAACTGTTTTGCCGCTGTCTGTCCTGAAAATATGAAGCTTGTTTATCTTACAAAAACTGTAGTTCAGGATCTTTTGAAGGTCCGTGAAAGTTTTGAAGATAAAGTAATTGGTAGCTTTGTGAGAATCAAGTCTGACCCCAATGACTACCGGCAGGAAAACTCCCACCAGCTGCAGCAAGTAGTAGGTTTGTCTATTTTTCATCTTGGAATTTATCATCATTATCTTTCAAAATTTACAAGGATATGTATGAGCCATTGAGCTTTTTTCGCTTTCTGTGTTTTTTTTTTATATGTAGCTCTTGCGTAGGAAATTAGAAGGTAAAAACCGTTGCTCGTTTGAGGGAAGCAATTTCTATTACTTTCCTGTGAGAACAGATGGTTTCTAGTTAGTTATCTCTGTGTCTCAGTGGAATGGCATATATTGTACTCTATAATTTTTGATGTGGACGGAATTATTTTCATTTAGTATAATTTAGTCAAACTTATGCCCTTCCCATAAAACTGCGTAAAAGGAGTCTCGGCCCAGTGGTAAGAACATTTGACATGTGACTTTCAACCTTTTCTAGTGTTACCTTTCCCGTTATTGACACTTGCTAGCTTCCATAAATCAGTGTCCCTTTTTCTTGTTCAACTCTTTCGTTTTTCTTTTCCAAGAAAGTGCCTTAAAGTTTGTTCCTAACATTGTTAATGTTAATACAATTGCAAAATTTTTCCATGTTGATATTGACTTTCCCTGTTCTTGAACTTCATTCACTGTATCAAATTTGATGTTTTACCCTTTGATGCCTAGTTCCATGCAATTTATACTCCGACATTTTAAAGGACTGAGGGCTTGACTTTGTGACCATTCATCCCATTGGTAGCGTAACTATCATATATGTGATGGAGTTCCAATGAGTTGTTCTTCTCATGCAATGATCTTGTTTGCTTGTCTCAGCTTATTCTCTATATTCCATTAAGGACAGAAACTAGCCCCTTACCACATTATCTCATCAATATTGCTATGAGGTTGTTAATGACATTTTGTCCTTCTTCAGGTGTAAGAATGGTCGCTGATGGTATAGATGTTCGTCTTCAACTTTCAAATAATGCAAAAGAATTTCCAATAGAAAAGTTGTCTGATGATTTCTTTTCAGAGGTAATTCTGTATTCATTGTGATGCAATGATACTTTGAATTTGATAACTGATCATATTAAAGTATGTGTTAGTCATGCATCAGCTATCCTTTCACATAGTGGGCAAGCATTACAAGAAGAAAAAAAAAAAAAAAACTTAAATGCTTCACATGCTATTTCTTTCTTTCGTTGCAACCAAGATTTTTACTGGCTAATTTTTCATAGACAATTGGGAAATGTTTGGAGGATGCTTAGAAAATGTTTACTTGTTTTGATTCTATACGTTGAAGGTATCATCCATGTGGGGCGTAATGATATTTGAAACCCAGGATTCAAAGTAACTGCACGCAAGTTGTAATTTTTTGTAGACTTGCTGTATTTTTGTTTGAAAGATCTGCATTTTGAATCTAATTTAGTGCAGGATGTTTGTTCTACAGCTTGTGATCCCTATATGTCCTTTTCTTATTTCACTCCACAGCATTCTGGCGTCATTCTAAATTTCAGCGTTTGTAGCTTTTTAGTTGCTGATACTCATTGCCCTCTTGTAAATCTGCTTTTTCTGATTGTTGAAACATAACACATGAAACTTTTTTTTATCCTTGTTCTATGTTTGGAAAAAAAAAATCACGTCTTGTAGAACTTGGCTCTAAATAATGTTTGTGGTCACATGCATGTGACTGACTATTAAAGGGTTGCATGCTTTTGTTGAATTTTAACCATATATCTGATCTTTATGCTGTTGTGTTCAGGCAGAGTGTAAGGATTTGCATGAGAGAGTCGAAGCTGGTTTGCTTAGAAGACCTACTGTTGTAAGAGATACATTTTGTTACTTTTTTGGACTGAATTCTAAGATCTGATGTAGTTATTTCAAGAGTGAAAAGTTTCAGTGTCAGAATTCTGTACTTTTTAACCATGTCAGAGCAATGATGCTTAGCCAGCCCCTCTTAGAGGGATGAAGGCTTAGTAGTTGTTCTTGCATCAGTGTTCATTTTCCTGACACGACGAGCTTTTATGTCAAGTGCTTATACGTTTTTCTGAACAAGGATTAGTCTCTCGGCTGTACAGTAATATTAGGATTTCCTAGTGGAGCTGTGAACATATTGCTTCTTTATTTTTTCGCTGCATAACCCTGTTAATGTATCTGTCCAAAAAGCTATTGGTATAGAAACACAAAAAGTTACATACTCCCCAACAGAGACACATCTTACATATGATGCTATATGTATGTTCACGCATTTATCTTTATGCTTCATATTAGATCATTGATATTTCTTCTAACTGTTGATTCTTGTTCTGCTGAGTGCAAATATAACTTGATCAGATGTGGTATAGATGCAACAGTGTAGTTGTAGTGGTTCTTCTTTGTTTATTGCTAGCCCAATGATCCGGGTATAGAGATTTCTTTATACTGACTATAATAACTAATAAGTAGTTGAAGTCATGAGCATGCCTTATTTCTGTGGTAAGTTTAACTGCATTGCACTAGAAACACATATGATCCAAGGTTTATGCCTTCAAGGATGTATATTCGACATACAGGCTATTGAGTGTTCTAATATATTACTATCAGATAATTCAATCTCCAGTGGTTTGGACTAAGTTTGAAGATGGCTCCTTGGGTTGACTTATGTTGAGCTTTCTTGTAATGTACACGGTTGTATAATTAGGTTATTGTGATTGAATCCTTATTTTAACACCTGTATTGGGTTCAAATTGCGCTGGACTCTAATTCCAGTATTCCCTGGTCAATCCATATTGCATTCATTTCTTATGGCCTTACATTGTTGTCTCCTCGTCAAAAAATGTCCTCGCCTGTTGCCCGTGTATACTATTCATCTCTGCAAATGGTTTTAAATACGCCTGGTTGACCAGAGACATCTTTTTCTGGCTCTACATTCTGTAAAACCTTTCTAATTAGTTAGTACTCCAACCCTCTCTTCTTATTTTGTGTTCCTTTGGTAACTTCTAATACATAGATGTGTTACTGTTTTGCTGGGGTGGGGAGTATTAGCATTTCGTCGTGCAGTGCTTGTGCCAGACTGAGTTATAATAAAAGTCCACAAATTCACGGTATTGATTGGACATATGTGTACTTGGAACCAACCTGGAGACAAACCCTACTACTGTTTTGGCTTAGATCTTCATGGTGGTCTGTGGATTGATCTGCATATTTTATTTCAACTATACTAATGCTATTATGTGGTTGAGCTATCCCATTAATTGTATGCTATGTTTTCCTACTAATTTGCAAAGACTACTGAAATGGCTTTTTCTTTTTCGTTTTTGTCACAAAGTTTGTGGTATACACCACCTCAGATGATCTGTTTACTGCATCTTATTTTTCGTCTTCACTTTTTATTTTTCCAATTGATCTCTCCTGTTGTCTTCTTATCTTACAATAAAACTCTCTTTTTGCGTTGACTATTCTGTGAAACTTTTTGGCTTCCTTCACAGGTGGAGTTTGAAACAAAGGCTAAAATGTTACGCAAGGATATAATGAAACGTGTAAGTGGAAGATGCGTTGTTGAAATTAAGGGTATTTGTAATATCTGCATGAATCCTGGTACTTAGCAGGAAATCCACAGTTTAATTTGATGCTGATGCAGGAATTATATTGAGTCAGGGGTAGTCTTGAGTAGGTAGGATCTGTTAAAGACATGATTAGCTTTTCATTCTTTGGTTGATTGTGAGTCAGAATATATAGTTGATATAGGAAATAGAACTTGGACAAGGAAAGCATTTTGGTGCACAGAAGATGCCACTGTCTTTTTTATGCCCGCGCTGGAATCATATTGGGATGGGAAAATCCTCGAGTATGACTTCATTTCATTATTGAAAGAGCTTTTAGTTTCAATTTTCTACTAGGGAGTATATAAATCTTTAGCTAATTTAGGAAGAATCCTTATGAAAACTATGGAATAAACTTCACAAGGGAGTTCCTTGAGTGATGCACATCATAAAATTTCATCCAGTTTTTGCTTTTATTTTGTTTAGGCTAGTTTTGACCTTTCTATTTATGATGCTCTTTTTCAACATATCTTATCATTCTCATTCAATTTGCCGAACTTGATGCTGGATGGGTTGCAGTGGATTCCTGGAGAACTTTCACGCTTACAGAAGCTTATTGAGCGTGCCAATGAAAAGGGCTGGCGTAAAGAATATCCTTATTTCATTGCTTAATCATCATCCGCAATTATCTATGCTTTATTTTCGTATATGTGGCATATGGTTTGTGGAAGGAAAGAAAGGTAGTATGTTGCTGCTTTGACGCAGTAGAGTTGATTGAAAAATAAATGTCAGTTTTTGTATCAACCTTTCTCGAACAAGGTGCTAAGTTGTCTAATGACTGATTTGATTGTTACTTGGCAGGATTCCTGGGATAATTTGAGCAATAATCCATGCTTTCAACTTGGCAATAATACATGCTTCCTTCTTATAATTGATTACAAAAAGATATTTTATTAGATAGTGACAATTATTTGATTACTCTTAGCATTCTGTTTCGAATCTCTGAGATGACTCTTACATATTGCTAAAGTTCTTCATTCTACTTTGTTGTTATTCAAACTTGGTATGTGTTCTCAAACTTTCAAAACTGAAATTTTGGTGGGGTACACTGCACATACGACTGTTTTAAGTGGGTGAACTTGCTTTGATGTTTCATCACTGTTGGGATTGTGATTTGGTCTGGTTTATTTGGTGAAGATTGTGATTTCCTCTCGCTGTCCTGGTTCAATTATGACTGATTCATGCATGTTAACAATAGAGATAACTCATTTTAGTCCATACAAGTAACATTCTCATAAATGTATCCATCGAATAGATGGGGCATGTTCGGTTATGACTAGATCTTGTGCATGCTTGTAACATTTTAGTCAATACAAGTATCATTTTTATAATGTGTATATCAAATAGGTGGGACATGTTGGACTATGAAGTTAGAGCTTGCAAGTTGCCTGTGTTTGTTTTTACAGAGCCCTATGATCTCCATTTATCACCTTGAAAGTGATTACATTTGTTTACTTAACTAGTATGTACACTTTTTGACTACTTAGAAAGAAGAAAGGTACTCCAAAAACCATCTGAACAGGATAGACTTATAACGGAGATTCCGAAAGTTATAGCTGACAAAATAGAATCTCAAGCCACACCCTTGGGTACATTAGAAATTGGAGAAAAGAATAGTTCTTTGCCCAGACCTCATGACACTGAGGCTTCAGAAAATTATTATTCTGATGATGCTGGTGTGTGTTTACATCAATTCACCCTTTTGTCCTTTTGATTGCTCATAATATTTTTATCGTGCTGGTGAAAGTTCACTGATTATTGTCCACTGTTTTCTAATTTTTGTAGGAACAAAACAAGAGAATAGGTCTTCGCCCAGATTTTATGACTGGGAGGCTTCAGATAATTATTATTCTGATGATGCTGGTGAGTACTCACATCAATGGTTCTTGTTTATTCTTTTGTGTTTTTTTCCCCAATTTTTTTGTCTACTTTTTGGGCGTACTCATTGCAACTTTAGTATGCTGGTGAAATATCTATTGAGAATCTGCCAAAGCTAAACTCCTTTGGACTTACTCTCAACTGGGGGGTTTTAACTTGGGACCTGGCCTCGCAGTTCATCTATCCAACTCTTTTCCAACTTTTGCAGTTTTGAATAGGCTCCCAGTTCACCTGGCTTCACAAATTCCCTTTTAAGAATGAATAATGAAATGCAAATTTGCGATGAGACTCTGAAAAGTGATTCGTTCAGGGTTAAATTTCCATTGTCGCCCCTGAAAGAGACTTGAATCAGAACCAATACTTCCTTATTTATCAGCCAACCAAAAATGTGGAAATAGACAGTGACGATGACGTTAATACTCTGATATAGACAAAATGAAACCCAAAAAATGAAAAGGAGACAATTAACTTGTTGAATTATCTAAAACAGCCTTATGTGACTTACGATTAGTTTAAACCCTGAGGACTGGTTGACTTCTTGGTTAAATCATTAATGTGTTGTGTCCCTTTTACTACTTATTCTTGTTACAAGAAGTTCTTCATAAAATGGCAGTCACGTTTCAAAGGTTTTTTTTTTGTTTTGAATAAGATGGTGATTGGTAGTTTCTTTTTCTTTATTTGTCATACTGTTATCAGGTCCTGATGATATTGAAATTCCATCTGCAACTGTTATGGGCAAATCAATTGTTCCAGAATTAGAGAAAACCTATATTAACATTGGATTGGCAAGCAAAGAAGCTGTAAAAGGTTAATTTTCTTATTCTTTGCTCTCTTGTCCGTCGAAGTTTTAAATCCACACTCATTTCTAGAGCTTTCAAAGGACTGATAATTATATTGCCACAGAATTTAGGTTTTTGGTTATCAGACACATGCTTCTACTTTGTTTGTTGGGGGTTATGGTTGTATCCTTTTATAGAAGACAATATACAAAGAGATTTAACAAGGTCTATGGCAAATGAGAATTGCTTGATTGTGCTCCGGAGCTCCAGATGGTAACTCCATTAGGAAAGAATATAGTTGGGTGGCCAAATGGCTCTAGTTTTTGTTTGTTACTGACAAAAAGTATTTGGAACAAACGATAATGTTTTCGTTCATTGTGATAAAAGTGCAATATCTGCCATTGGAGGCATAAATTAAACAACTGGACATGCAAAATAAATTAAAATCTAGTGGTAAATATGAGGATTTGTTGTAGAGCTGTCTTGGTCTTATACTGTGTGGCATTATTGTAAATGGCACGTGATCTGATATTTTAGATGTGAAAACTGTTCAACGAGAATGTTGAGATTGGTGTGCAGACCAACTGTAGTCTGTAGTGATAAGTGATAACATTTGTAATCAATGCATCAAAGTGAAAGTTAGATGACCCCAATAAATGATCACTGTTCTCACCAATCAGCTGCTGTTGCACACCAGAAGCAATCATCATGAAATCTGTGATTTGATCTGGTTGATGCTCACAAGTTGAAAGTAATTTTCTCTCATGCCATCTAAAGCTGGCTGTGGGATATCTAAGATCCTTATAATTAGAAATGCCAGCACCATTATTTTTCAATTGTGTAAATCTGTATGTTTTTTTAATCTTTTTCTATTACTTTGCAGTAGTGATATGTACGGTATTGACACATTGTCTTGGTTGGATGAGAGAGAACTCTACGTGTTGCCAATTTGTTAATTTTTATTACTGAGAATGATAAAACCTTGTTACTGGGTTTTATCCTATGTTGAAACTAGCATCCTTACACGTTGATAATGTTAGTTAAACTACTTAGTTGAAAGAGTCATTATCCCGTTCGTTTAGTTTCCATTCATTCCTTCTTTTTCTCATCCTGAGTGATTGATTTTCTAATCTGCTTGATGAAGATTTTATTGTAAGCTGGCCACTGACATCCGCTACTTGAATGCAGATTGCCAAAACTTAAATGTGTTGCAAAACGGAGTCACGGCTCATATGCAAGACCATGATGTAAGCAATAGAGAAATACTGGCTGTGGCTTTCAAAGATAAGATCAGTGCAGACTGCCAGAAGAACTTAAATATAACACAAAATGGAGTTGCGGCTATTGTGGAAAACGACGATGAGAGCAGACGACAACTGCCGCATGCAGATTTACAACATAATGAGGGCTCAATTCCAGGAAGAGATTTAATGTCTGCTGAAATAATCGAATTGAGTGATGAAGATGATGATGAAATTGAAGTGGTGAAAGTGGAGAAGCGTCCCAGTGTTGATGTCCATGAATATGCATGGCAATATCTGGATCCACAAGGCGAGGTTCAAGGGCCTTTCCCTCTAATTCAGCTGCTGGGATGGTATGAATCCAATTACTTTGAGCCTGGCTTCAAGGTCTGGAAGAATGGTCAAAGGCAAGAGCAGGCTGTGCTTTTAGTTGATGCACTTCGATGTGCATTTCCTCGTAAATGAAGGTTTTCTCATCTCCCTGTTAAGGCAGATTTTTTCCTCTCTTTTTCCCTTAATTTTTTTTTTTTTTTGTAATTTTTTCTGAGTAACATTCTCCTTTAGAATATCTGTGCATCTGTGATCCTTAGTGATTATGAGTAGGGCTGTAAATCTTCTTTCCCAATCGATTTAAGGCGCTGACTGATTTGAATTTTCGAGTACTTAAATCGAACTGTAACAGAAATGAGAAATTTGATCCTTAGAGTGAGTTAAGAAGTCCAATGTGCATTTGCAGTCATATTTTCACATTGTTCTGGATTCACTTCCAGTTCTTAGTCCAGGTTTCAAATTTATTTATATATTTGTTTAGTTATTTTACTGATTTGTTACCAGAAGTTTTATACTAATCGTTCCAAAAATGATTGCCCTCACAAGAACAAGTATACTAAAACTGCATTCGACCAATCGAACAATGAACTTGGTCCCGAATACAGTCAAGAAAAAGATGGATTTGAACAATTTACACCAAGCTTAAACTTTTCTTTTTTTTGGTTTTTTTTTTTCTGAAAAAGACCAAGCTTATAAACTTAAATATGGAAGATTATCAATCATAGGAATTTATTTAATTTCTTTATTTAAATAGTAGAAGGAAAATAATCTTTCATTACAAGGAAATAAGAGTGTTTACCCTAATTCATTCAACCTTCAAAACTCAAAAACCAAACAGACTTATCAAAAGTAAGAATTATATGCACTTTTAAATTCTCGATGATGGAGAGGAACTTCTTCTTCATTCCCTAACCAAAATTCATATACAGTATTTTCATTACCTCGAATTAGTGTTATCATTATCATTATGATTTTCTTTTTTTTTTGAAAAAAAAAACTATTTGTTGTTGTTTTAAGTTTTTGCTATGTTTGCAGAGCGAGGAAGACATAGTAGCAACATGCAAAGAAGGGAAAAAAAAGAAGCATGAGTAAATTTTGATGAAGAGTTAATGGTGTTTCTGCTTTGATAATTGTAGGAAGGTAGTACTAATCGTCGTAATATGCATTCAAGAGGGTTGATTTTCTTCCTTTTAGAAGAGAAAACCATATCAATCTGTATCTTCTTTATATGGAAAATATACATGCATTTATGCCCTTTTCATACTTCTTCCGATTTGCTTCTTTACTTCCAATGCGGATTTTTCTTCCACTAAACTCATCAGAGTGTATCTTCTAATCTAGAAAACAACTAGATTAACCCCAACTTCATCAGTTCAAAAAAAATCCACCATCCCATGATCATGGCATCCTAAAAGAATCTTTGTTAAATTTTCTTTTTTTTTTTTTTTTCATTTGATGCAGTGGTGAAGAGATTTTTGGCTTCCATTGATTACAAAAGGACTGTCCTGTGTCCATCCCATGAAGCTAAACTCGTGTGTATCCCGACCCTTGTGCCGATTTTCTCTTGTTATTGCGGTGAGTTGTCTGATCTTTCTCTTGTTGAAAGAAATGAAAAGTTTTTCTGTACCTTTGATACTAACTTGAATTACTACTGAAGTTGATTTGAATTACTGAACTTGCTATTAGTTTTTATTTTATTAGTACTATTGTTTTTTTGGAATCGGAAATGATTTGATTGTTTTGTTCTTCTTTTTAACCCCGTCCATTGCTTTAGCTGTTCTAGTATCTCTGCAACATAAGGGCACTCAGCAATGGTCGTCAATGGACTCCTCCTTAACTTCACCTAGTTCACATTTCTTTTCACTATCCGTCATCATTAATTTTGCTTAATCTGTCCTGTGTCCATAGGTTCCACAGAATGTTTCCCTCCAATATTCTTACTTCTATAGTAGTATTTAATCCCTGTGTGTATAAATACTCTGGTCAAAGCCCTGTGTATGTGGTTTCTTGGAATGAATTTTTTTTGACTCAATTTGAAGTAGTAGAATGCAACATCACAGAAAGTATCATTATGCTGTCCAAATAGATTTAAAAAGACGAACAAAACAAAGCCCTGTCTTGCACATTGGTTCCATGTTTTCTGTGAGTTTGTTCTACGTACCCATCAGTACTGCCCTAAAAAGTAGTGGAGGTTGATGCCTCTCGCTGCTCTTCTTCACCTTCTTCTTTTTCTTATCTCCGGTGGCAGCAGCTCCGCATTCCTTCGGGAGCTTCTTTCCAGACTTGGGCTTCTTCTCCGCCAGAGCTTTCTCAGCTGCGGGGGCTTTCTCCCCCGCAGGCTTCTTCTCAGCTGGTTTCTTGTCGGCCTTTGGTGCCATCGCAAGAACAAACTACAAACAGAGAAATTTGGCAATTGATGGGAGAGAAACAGATAGGGGTTGAATCAAAAAGTTGAGGAGCGTGATACTGAATAGCTTTTATATCTTTTGGAATTCTCCAAATTTAGATAGTTCTAAAATATTTCACATGCTTTTTAAGTAGGCTACTAACTAACTTGTATTGTTTCTGTGTGCAGTCATTCATCGTGTTGCTTTTGGTACCTGTTTCTCTGGTTCCTTTGTGGATCAATGAGGTACACGAAATCACGAATGATGCCAAGTTAATATTTTACAAAAGCCATCAAGGGGTACTGTCAGGCATGGAAACTACAACAAAGATGCTGTCTCCAACTAATAGGGAATTCGCAAACTTAGGAAGATATCTGAGTTTATCCTTGAATACAACCAATCCTACCTTCTCTGCTATTCAAACCGAGGTTGATCTTCTTTTCCTATCATTTTATCGGATAAATTTGACTGTAGTTAGTAAGATATGTACAAACTTTCCTAACACCTTTATTTTGTTGTTGTTGTTGTTTAGGTGGCTCCTACATTGTTTTTAGCATTTTCAACAATTCCACACTTGTCTCAGATTTCTTATATTACGCTGGATGGTTTGTATTTTTCATACTTCATCAAAGATGGTCAACCATATGCTATGTACTCGAATACTACATTGTCCACCTCCGCATTTGCCAGTTCTAATAACTATAGTTGGTACACCCAGCCAGTGAATCGGGATACAGGAAAGCTTTGTGGGCATTCATTAACTTCTGCACCATTGCCAATCTTTAATTCAAGCAGATTGAGAGAAGCATTGAAGAGCAGAGATGGACGCATATCAGTAGGAGCAGGACGGAGTGATGATCAGGAGTTATTGTTATTCTACACTATTGGTATTGATCAAAGCACAGCTCTATCGCTAGGATTCCCCGTGAAACCATTAACTGATTTCTATTTGACTAGAATAAGTGCATATGGTGGCGCGCTCTATCTGGCTGCAAACGATGGGACATCATTACTCACTCATGGCATTCCAAATACTCAGATGGTAAGGACTAGTGCTTCTGCTTCCATTCATATAATTAATCCCCGTGATCATCAGATAAGCAAGGCCGGCGAGCTTGCATGTCGAACTAATGACGGAAACCTTAAAGCATCTATTATGGAAATATGGAAGCGCAAGTATCTGTTTTACTGCTCATCAGTTGAAGTTGTTGGAGTGCAATCTGTAAGTTTTTATTTTCCTAAAACCAAATTTTGATAAGAATCCCGAGCTGTATTGAGAGGGGTAGTTAAAATCTGTTACGCTTGTCTCAGGAAATAAATTTTTTGACTTATTAAACTGCCTTCCATAAGATCATTTGCATAAAATTGACCAGATTTCAAAATGAAACAGTCAGGAGTTTGTCTTTTATCCTATTTCATGCATGCTAATGTTATTGACTACCATGTCAACTAATAGTGTTTTTTTTTTTTTTAAAAAAAATATAGACATGTTTGTCAGAATTTAACTCCAGGTTCTTCATATATCAGGTTTATGCAATAGCTCTACCATACAGCGGGCTAGCAAACTTCATACATCAAAATGTCAAATATGCCATTGTACTTCTTGTAATAATAACCTTTGCTTTGGTTATTTCCATTTGCACATTCATTTTCTTAACTATTAGAGCAGCAAGGCGAGAAATGTATTTATGTGCTGCGCTCATTAAACAATTGGAAGCAACTCAACAGGCCGAAAGGAAGAGTATGAACAAAAGTCTGGCCTTTGCTAGGGCAAGTCATGATGTACGTGGTTCACTGGCTGCTATTATTGGTTTGGTCCAGAATGTATGTAAGCATGTTGCCGCAGAATCAGATTTGCACAAAAATTTGAAACTGGCAGAAACTTGTGCTCAAGATCTCCTAGGTTATCTACTACCTTATTTAATTCTTTTTTGTTTAATGCTTTTCTAACAATATCCACTTGTGGTTATAAAAAGAAATTACTTTGTTTATAGGTATGCTGACTTCCATTCTCGACACAAGTAGGATTGAAGCAGGGAAGACACAACTTGAAGAAGAAGAATTCGACTTGCAACAACTAGTAGAAGATGTAGTTGATCTGTATTACCCTGTTGGTATGGCAAAGGAGAAATTTGTTGACGTGGTGTTGGATCCTTGTGATGGAACTGCCACAAAATGCCGTCATGTTAAAGGTGACCGAGGCAAGTTGAAACAAATTTTATTGAACTTGCTGAGCAATGCTGTCAAATTTACAGATGAAGGACATGTCTCAGTTAGAGTTTGGGCTAGAAAGCCTTGTTTTGAAAATGAAATACTCGTTTCCAATCGCAAGAAATCAATTGGATGCTTCTCATGTTTACTGATTAGGATTGACGATGAAACCTACAAAGAGTTGAAAGCTACCAATAGTATCCAGCAGGATCCAAATTGTATGGAATTCATATTTGAAGTGAGTGACACGGGGAAAGGCATTCCAAAGGAAAAGCACAAAATGGTCTTTGAAAACTATGTTCAAGTCAAAGATACAGCTCTAGGTTATGAAGGCACTGGATTAGGACTTGGCATTGTTCAATCTCTGGTAAGTAAAATGATTATCATCTCATTTATATGACTCATTTCTATCTTAACTTCTTGTAATTAACCTTGGACTCTGGCTTTATAACAGGTTCGCATCATGGGTGGAGAGATTTCTATTGTTGAAAAGGAACTCGGCGAAAAGGGTACTTGCTTTAGGTTTAACACATTCTTCATTTTGTGTGGGAGTGAAAGTGGAAGTGACAAGAGGGACGATGATCGTGAATTTGGTTCTTATGGTGGTCTTCTATATAATAATTTTCATCCACAACAAGGGCCTAGTACACATACTCATGGCTCCAAAGCAGAAAGATCCCATGTTGTGCTTTTCATTCCTAGAGAAGAAAGGAGTCATATCACAAAAAAGTTCATGGAGAGTCTTGGGATTAAAGTTTCAGTGGTCAAGCAATGTGAACAGCTTTCCGAGACTTTAAAAAACATTAAACAAAGACTGGTGCTCCCGCGGCCTAACTCAACCACCACCAGATCAAAAGAACTCCCTCTCAGTGCATATGATGGGGGTGATGTAACATCATCTTCGGAGACAACAAATTCCAGAAGCACATCGAACTTTATCTTAGTTGTGATCGACACATGCGCTGGAATTTCTTCCGAGATCAGATGGGCAGTGGCTGAGTTCAGAAAAGATCTTTGTAACACTTGCAATAGGATAGTGTGGATACAGAGGCCAGACACAAGTAGTGGAGATTTCTTTGGTCTCAAAGAGGATAAATTACCTCCAATGGATGTGATCATCTCAAAACCATTACATGGGGCACGTTTGTTCCAAGTTGTAAGACTTCTGCCAGAGTTTGAGAGTTTAATTCCCACCAGAAAAATAATGGAAGCACACTCATGCCAGATGGGAAATCTTCTTGATGAATCCAACAGCGCAAAAACTCATGAGAAAAATGAAATAGTACATGAAAACCCGTTGCATGGGAGACGAGTGTTGGTGGTTGAAGATAGTGCATTTCTAATGACAGTGGCTACAACTGTAGTTTCTCGGCTTGGTGCAGTTATTGAGACATGCAAAAATGGTAAAGAAGCTCTAGAAGCCGTTCGCCACAAACTCAAAGATGGTCAAAAAAATGGAATGTCTCAACTACCCTTTGATTATATTCTGATGGATTGCGAGGTAAAATTCCTTATATCTAACTTTTTTTTTTTTTTTTTGAATAATGATAGGAGAAAGAAATCACTCATGGAATGATATGTATGGCATAAATGAAAAGACAAAACACCAATTGCATATTCCTTAAGAGTATGATTTCTTTTCTAACTTGCCCAATCCTATATGTGGTAATGAATCAATTCTTCATTGTAACACTCTTTTATGGTATTTGATTGATCTTTTGCTCATGTTTCTCTTAGTTGTTGTTTTTGGGTGGACATGAATGCAACATTTTTTTTTTATTTAAGATGACAGAAATGGATGGATATGAAGCTACTAGGAGAATAAGAGAAGAGGAGAAAAAATATGATTTGCATATTCCAATCATTGCATTGACTGCCCATACTGCAAGTGAGGAGATAGAGAAGATGATTGGAGCTGGAATGGATTATTACTTATCAAAGCCATTGAAAGAAGTCCAACTTTTGAATGTTCTTTCATGTATTCAAAGCAGATGATTGAAAAAGAAATAATGACATTCTTTTGTTGGTTTTCATTACACAGTTCTTTTGTGGAGGAGTGGGGAATGAGAATGGGAAAACATGCATGCTTATTCTTTCGTGGAGGAGTATTAATTTTGATTACCTATTTTGATTATACATCATTGACCAATACGTAATTGATGGAACAGTTTATGATCGTTGAATCCAAAAAAAAAAAAAAAAATTTAAATTGAAATTAAATTTGCAAGTCAAAAAAAATAAAAAATAGTCAACATTTAACCAACTAGAACATTATCATCCCAAAAAGAGCATACAAGAAGGACACGGGAACTTCAGACATAATACCATTTTTTCAAATTCAAATGAAATATAAGTTCAATTAGAAAAGTACTAGTTTCAGATTCCAATAAATACATCAAATTGGAACTTAGAAGGACGCCCAAGTTTTTTTTTTCGCAAACTTTTGTATTCTCCTCTGCGTGAAATCTGTGAGACAAAAGATGTGGTAGAGGTGAAGAATTATTAACCCTATAATAGTTTTACCATTTTCAAGGTGCAAAGGTCGCATACTATCGTAAATAAGTATCATATACAAACAGAACAAATACAAATATGCACAACGATTATATCCATTTGTCAACAAAATCAACTATTCTGATATATAATCGAGTAATCTTCTAATGGAATATCCTAATGTTTGAGCTATTCAAAGGTTTTGGTTAATTTTTCCAAACCTTTAGTGAAGTAGGGAAAATTTCCCAAGATTATGCAAAGACTGATAATTTTATTTTTAAAAATTTAACTTAACAACTTTTTCTAATAACACTTTAGAAAATTGTCCAATATGAGTTAGGAACAAATTCCCATGCATAACTCTTTTATACGTTAAACTTTACCTGACAATAATCTCCCGATAAGGTTTGCATATTTGCCAGCAACAAATGTTTGACGAGTTAAAAAAGTAAGAGGCTAACATTAAGTTATGTAAGTTTAAATTTGGGATAACGAAAAAAAAAAACCCTAAACTAAATCCGAAAGACTAATCCTCTCAAGGTTTCTCATAAGAAATAAAAACTACCCCTTGACCGCAAAAAATGTTGAAAGTCAATAGGCCATAGATGTAAAATAACTTAAAAAAATATAAGTAGTTCCGGCTGAAATTATGAATCACTATTATACACCTAAAACTTCTTCAAATTTTCAGAGGATAAGGAAAACGAGTCCGTACTCTGTGGAACTATATCCACATTCCTAATACCTTCTCCAAATTTTTTAAAAGGACAAGAACCCTCTTTCTTAATTTTGACAATTTGGATCCATTCAATGTAATCTAACAATCAATTTTGTTGTTCAAAAGAAGATCTTTAAAATCTTATCACACCATTGTTGAATCTTTTCTTGGTGCCATACATTAATCTAGCTAGATTATAAGTCCACGAATTTGATATCACTTTGAGTTCATAAAACGTATGGATACTTGAAGGAAAAAAAAAGGGGAAAGAAAAATGGACAATCTAAAATAGTGCAGTGAAAATTGAGTTATAAGTAAACGTCTAACTGTATTAACTGAACAATCATTTAGTCACAATAAAACATGTATAACTGTAAAGAAAAAAGGATGCATAACAATGTATCCCGCGTCAACCTCTAATGATAGAATAACTGTAATAATTTTGTTTCTATGAAAGAAGCAGAGACCATGGAAGATTATGTACAAAATGGTTATGTATTCTCCAAATTAACAAGCTCAAATAACAAATCTACAAGACATTGATTTTTCACCAGTGTTTTATAGATTGTTGAAAACTATAGTTGGATGAAAGGTTAGTAATGATAATGGCGGCAACATGAGAATTTGCAAGCTAAAACATGGAAGGAAAAAATGAGAGAAAAGATTAGTTAATAGGGATTTGCAATCGAGATAAAATTATGGTTCTTACAAGAAATTAACGTGCATTAGAGATTTGAGCATATTATCTTTGTCCTTATTCCCAAGAAAATTCATTTTAAAGGGGTATTTTTGTCACATTACTCATTTGTAACTTAGATATTACTCCCTCCATTCCAAAATAAGTGTCGTTTTAGCAAAATGGAGAAATTTCAAAATAAGTGTCGTTTTCGGATTCCAATGCATTTTTTGTTAAAAATTTCCAAACATACCCTCAAAAGAAATAATATTATTGGTGAGCATTTATTTTAATAGGGTTGGTTGAGGATATTCTAGTAATTTAATTACCATATTTAATGTTTTCTTAAACTGTGTGCAAATTCTAGAATGACACTTATTTTGGAACGGAGGGAGTAACATGTACCGAAAATCTGTCAGATGAGAATTAATCACCCATTAACCCTGCGGTCAAAGAGTTTTTCGTCCTTATGAGAAATCTCGATGGGGAATGATTTTTTTGGGAAGTAGTTAGGGAGCTAATTTAATGAAACAATGTTATGTCTCTTTGTGAGAATGAAATTTTGGGGGGTTGGGAAGAGGGTCCGAAAGGGGATAACGGTTTACAACTGGTTTAGGAAAATGGAAAAAGAAGATTGAATGCGAAGGTGGACAATAAAGGTGTTATCATACTGGTTATAATAATGAGGTGTATGAGTGTTTACAGAATCCTTGTAAGTGGCATTAAGGAATTGAAACGTCAAGATTGAATTGTGGAATTTGTGCACAAGTTTTGGGAGGCGATTTTTAAAGTAAATAATATATTTTTTATGTTCATTATAGACCCGAGAGGATCAAACCTTGACTATAACAAGATGTGAGTGTACATTTCCGTAATGTAGTATGTAATTTTTAATCTTGGTCTCTTTCATTGTACTATATATAAAAAAGTTCTCTCTTCAAATGTAGAAGAGATGATTCAAACACTTGGAACAACCACTTAATTACTAGCTGTTTATAGGTTTTAACAAGGTTTGTAAATGCTATATATTATAGATTTACCTAGATTTTAGTTATATTTTTAGGTTTTTTTTTGAAAATGTATTTTTGGGGGTTTTGTTTTTTGTTTTTTTTATAGATAATAGGAACTATATGTACTATCTCATTTGTCAATTAATTGATCAATGCATGCCTAAATCCCTTACTTTGCTCAATCTAATCTCATACACATTACTTTAGGTCAGTTATGTTTACCCAAACTGATAGGTACTTTTTCTACCAAACTAGTTAGACCCAATGCCTTTTTCAAAGGAAATTTTTATGTTGGATTGTTATTTCCAATTTTACTCGATGGTTTGATAGGAAAAATTCACCAAGTATTAAATGAGAAAAAAAAAAAATCAAATTCTCATTATTGTTAAATTGGTATTGAATGAAAATGGCTTTTCATTTTATTTTTGTGTAATTTTTTCCCCCTTCTTTTGTAAGAGTTTACATATTCTGTGGAGGGCTACTATTTGCTTTTGCGAGAATTTGTTAAATTTAAAGGGAAGGAATGTAGTAGTGATTTACTATGTAGTATAAGGAGAAGGTAAAATATGAATTTTTTTTTTTCTTTTTTGCTTCCTTTTGTGATTTAGGGTATCTACAGGACCAAGTTTGAGTCACAAGAATTCTTTTTGTGATTTACTAATGTTTACCCTGCATGTCGTGTGGGTGATATTAGTTCTAACATAAAAATTACATAAAAGTAGTCACAATTTAATTACTAAATATGAGACCTTTCATGTATTAAAGTAGAAAATAGTTTATATTAGGGAGGTTAACACTTTTGTGATGACCACTAATGTTGATTAGGATTTTTTTTTTTAGGAAGAATGGAAGAAAGCACAATTCGTCTTTAAAAGAGGAGGGAGCATAGTGATTTTCTCTCGTAGGTGCTTTTTATCTTAAATTGGGAGGCTACTGAATGCCCTTAAAAATTGTAAAAAGACTATTTTACCCTTACATACATACTTTTTTAAAAAAAATGGGGTGGGAGCGACGAAACACTGTGCCAGCCTTTCACGGCTGGCATAGGAGAAATGTTTAAAGGGTGGCGCACAATTTTCTCGCCTCCCAATTAAGGGAGGCGAGAGGGAATATTACCCCCAAAATGGGGGTGGCGCACAAATCTGGCGCCACCCCCTTCGGTTTGGCGAGCGAAAATGCTCGCCAAACCGAAATTACTTTTTTATTTTTTTATTTTTTCTATTTTTAATTTATTTAATTAATTAATTATTTTATTTATTTATTTATTTAATTTTATTTTTTATTTATCTATTTGGCGGTTGAAAAAATATTAAAAAATTAAATAAATAAATAAAAGTATTTTATATTTTTTCCATGCTTTTTAATTTTTCGTTTCAACGTATTTTAAATTTTATATTTTTTTTAAAAAAAATATTTCCAGGACAGCTAGATGCACTGATGATGAATAATTAATTTGTTTGGTAGTAAATTCATAAGTTTTAGTTTTTATTAAATGATAATTTTGTTTACGTTTAAAAAATTTTACATAACTAAATGATAAATTTTTATAAAAATTTACTACATAATTAAGCAACATTCTCTAAATATTTAAGTTAAAATTATTTGTTTAACCACCAAAAAAATAAATAAACTTTAATAAATAAATAAATTAAGAACATACACGAATTAAATAAATACATGAATGAAATAAATTTATTAAACTAATAATTAAAACCCACCATCCGTCACCCTTAAAACCCACCATCCGTCACCCTTAATCAAACAATGACCATTTTTTGGTGCTTGAATTCTTCAGCCTGCACCTCTTGGGAAATTCTTCTTTTAATTTTGAATGGTGGATTAATAAGTTGGTGGATTAATAATTAGTTAAACTGATGATTGATTAAAATTTTCAATTGAAACGGTCTTGGGATTTGGTTGCCAAGTTTGATTGTTTCGACTGAGTCCCAAAATTAAATAGTGACTTCGTCGTTGCACCACTCAGGCTCATCATTTTGATTTTGGCACCGGTCACCACATACATCAATTGATGATCGGATGATGCTATGTCTTTTATACAAAAGATATGTTATCTTCCATGCAAACAACGAAAAAAAGGAGATGTTTTATACTAGCATTGTTTCTCATTCTTGTGTTGGTTCCATAACTCGAGAATACGTCTCCATTCATGCGGAGCACTTTCCATGAGAATTAGAATTTACAAAACAAATGAGGGTTCATATGGGAGAGATGGGATCAACCCTAAAGAAAAACACAATAAAACATCTTACTAGACTCATGTTAGAACTGTTATTTTTTCATACAGAAAAGGGGTAAAACCAAAGGTTTTAGTACAAAAGATCATACAAAAGTGATGCCTGATATATCAGACTACATTAGAGGTTTGGAACTTCTAATGTTAAGGTTAATATCCAACACAAAAATTTAACCAAAAATAAATTTTTACAATCAAAACACCTGTTCCAATCCTACAAAGAGATTGAGACAAACTAAGCCAACACATGTTCCATTACAATACAACAAAAGATTTGAGACATAAACTAATCAAATATTGGCACCCGTTGCTTTTGAAGTGGAGTTCCACCGAGTTTTGCCTTCAGTCAAGGATGTATAAGCTGTGGAGTTCCACCGATCTTTGCCTTCAGTCAAGGATGTATAAACTAATCTTAGATATTTTGATTTTAACCAGAAAAAAGGCTAACGTCCAACAAAAATTTGATAAATTTTAAACCCCAAAAAAGAATAAAAATAATGAATAGTTATTTTTACATAGGATGTTCAATGACCCTATGTTAACTAACAAAATGACCAATTTAAAGCAATATTCATATGTGTAATTACCTTGCGGAGAACTAAAATTTAGTAGTAACCAAATTGTAATAGTTTCCAACAGTTTAGTGACCTTCTGAGCAATAGTTTAGTGACTTTTTGAACAACATTACGTCGACCTTTTTTTTTTTTTTTTTATCAAAGAACGCTAACATCAATTATATTAAGAGGCATTGATTGTCAGATATTCAGAATAGAAATTTACAAGAGTTACGCAAAAGGACTACTAAAAAGTAGTACTACCCATGATTAAAATAGATAATACTACTAATAACTACTATGCAGAAGTAGAATAATCCTGCTAATTACTATTAGCAGCAGTAGAACCCATTACAGAACGGCCCATTAGACAAAAGACTAAACCATCGACATCAAGGGTCAAAACCAGCGACATCAAAATCAGGGAGTGGATGACCTGATGGGAAATTAGGGAGACCAGATGGGAAATCATGGAGACCAGATGGAAATGCAAATGATGCCCAACAGAAGAAAGGAGAGGGAACCGGCTCCAGCAGCACAGGCAGGGGTTCGATCCACTGCCTATGCTCGTAGGCGGCCCTCTCCGCAGTTATCCTACTCATATTAGCTTGGCGTGACAAAATAAACACCGAATAGACAGACCCAACAAAAGTAACTGTCAAACCAAGGTAGAACGTCACCCTGACAAAAAGGTCGTCCTTCGGTATGGAGATGTTGATAATTACCCGACGACCGCCATTCCCAATAGCCGCCGGAGCCGGAGGAGGCGGAGGTGCCGGAGCAGGAGACAGAGAAGCCTGAGGATAGACAAAAGCAGCCGGAGCAGGAGCTAGAGGAGCCGGAGGAACCGGAGGTGCCGGAGGGTGGACAGAAGCCGCCGGAAGAGGAATGGAGCTACACCTTGTGATTCTGAGTCTTTGGAATGGAGTAACCACTGCCAGATTAGGATGAGGAGCCGGACGAGCCGGAAGAGCCGGAGGAGTCTGAGGGTGGACGGAAGCACCCAGAACGGAGATGCTTCTGAGTCTTCAGAAGAGGGGAGCACCGCGAAACATCGTGTTAGTTTGATACGTCAACATTTTATATTATAGCTATACGTAATTTAATTTAAACATGGATATAATTATTATATGGCAGCAGAATGGTTCACCAAAACTCTAAATATACATCGGAGATTCCTTGACTTCAATCTTGTGTGTAATCATTGTGTCTAAGGAAATATTCAAATCCACTATACTTATTGAGTCACGATTGTACTTATTGCATCACAAGTTTTTTTTTTAGCTAATCCTTTAATACTCTTGAAGGACATTAAAAGAAATCAATGATACATACTCAAGGAAGTAATTAGGGAATTGAATAACAGCTTAGTGGTTAGGATGTTGTGATTCTTGGTACTAGACCCAGGTTCAATTCTCACCAAGGAGTTTGTAAAGGGGGAGGGGGGAGGGAAGAGAGGGGCTTACCCGCATTTAAGTGGGGTTCACTGGGGTGAAGTTTTTTAGAAGCAAAAAAAAGAAGTAATTAAGCCAACCTTTTTAATTTATCTATTTAAAAGAAAAAAGAGATTAGATTGATAGGAATAGGAACGTTGCGAGGGACAAACCTGATTTCTATTTCAAGATTTCATGGTTTGTGGTTATTTTTTCACCCTACTTCTCAATGAAATCTGCCCTCTCTCAATGTTACAGTATATATTTGAGGCTCAAAATGGTTTGGTTCACATCTTATAGCGATTTCAATAAAAAAAAAAACCAAAAAAAAGGAAGAAGAAGCAAAAACAACAGTTACAATATACACTCCTAACAAAAAGAGATTTAGTTACAATATAATTTGCATTGTCAAAACATTGAAGAGCAGCTCACCAACAACTCCTTAAGGAATACCTGTCAGAAATTTAGTTTGTATTATAAAATAATAAACTTGAAATTTGATGGATAATAATTAAATTAAAAGGCTTTACAACTCTTCACATAGAGTTGTGGTTATTGGCTTAACAACCAATGGTTGTGTACTTAATTAATCCTTTAAATCCTAACTATTGTGCAAGTATTCGCCTATATATGTGAACTACTCCATAATTTTAACATATCTTTGGCATTCCAAAATTCTAGAGAATATTTAACAAGTTGTAAATCGTATGTTATTGTGTTCTTAGTGTCCTATATGCAAATTGTCAATCAAATCCTGTTTACAATCTAGCGGGAGCAAATATTGTCTTAAGGCAGTGTCTAACACGAGAAAAACATATCCAAATCTTTGTGATTCCCTGATTACTATATTCAAATTTCTATCATTAAAATTCATCATTTTTCATCTTTATTTTTTGGTGTCTTTTGTGATGTTTCTTTGGTTACTACCTCTAGATTCTTTCAATATCCACAAACTATAATGTATGAATCAAACATTCATATGAATGGTTATGAATCAGTAACCTGGAATCCCTATGGGGTGTCATAGATTCATACTCTTCAGTGAACATATTTATCTTAATTTCTGGTTATAAAAGATGAAACTAGTCATAGAGGATGTAATTGAACATATTTATCTTAATTTCTGGTTAAAATAAGAAAAAAAAGTTTAAGGGTAGCACTTTGTAAATTTAAATGTCAGTTTTGTAATTTTATATATACATATATATATATATATATGAGTTAAAATTATTTTATTTCAAATGTAAAACTGATAGTGATTACACTAGGACAATACATAAATTTTCACATATTCATAATGCATACATGACGTTTAGGTGATAAATTATCATTGTATTTCAGTTGGTTAGTTATGAAATATTTTGAAGATTTACATCGTATTCTAATTGGAGAAGTATAGTTATCAATGTTCACTAATTAAATTATTATTCAAAATTACTCAATAATTATATAATTTACATGGAAATTTAATTTTTTTTAATCTTAGAGTATTAAATAATTACACGATTACCGTTGATTGAAAGATGAAACTAGTCATAGAGGATGTAATTGAACATATTTACCTTAATTTCTTGTTAAAATAAGAAAAAACAAGTTTAAGGGTAGCACTTTGTAAATTTAAATGTCAGTTTTGTAATTTAAAAGGGCTTGTTATATAATTTAAAAATTTAGTGATGTAGATTGAAATTTAGTTAACTACAAATTATACACGTAATATTCCGTAGATAACAATTCCGTAGGAAATTTATGGTTAATGTATCCATTAACCACGAAAATATCCACGGAAATGTCATCCACGAAAGATTTCATGGTTAATTCGTGGATAAATACTTCATCATCCACGGATTAACCACATCTATAAATGTCCGTGTCTAATGTTGCGGGTATTCCATGTATATTTCGTAGGTAGAAATTTTGATATACTTTTCATGAATAATTCGTGTATAAGTTGTGTTTATTTATCCACAGTCAAGCTTGTTGTGTCTAATTCCGTGGTTAATTGATTATTTTCTTGTAGTGAGAGAAAAATGAGGTTGTTTTTCTAACACATTGGATTTAATTCTATATGTCAATTCTCTCCACTTTTAGATTTCTTAAAAAGGTCACAAAAAATGATCTCTGGTTCCAATTGTACAACTTGTCTATAATGCATTTGTCAACCATATCAGATTATATCCTAATCGTATGTTAACAAGGAAAATTTTTCAATTTCAAACCTTGAAAACTCATTCATCATCACCAACAATTGAATTCTCTATCTCAATTCTCCATGTCAATATATTTTTCAAATATAATATTCACTTTCAGATTGAATCCAAGCGGTGCAGACCTCTGTCAATTCTAAAGCGAAAAAGAGAGACAGATGGTTAAACTATTGTTCTGATCTATGATGACTGACTTCATCGTCATTATCGTCCATAACATCTATTAACCGAAGAGTACAAAACAACATTCACTGCTAAAGGTACCGTTATAGACTTTGTTCAATTTTTGGCTACATATGATTGGTATTTGATCATTGTATACTGTCCAATTGAAATAATCTGAAAGAAAAGAAATCAGTTGCACCGTTTAAAAATCAATTATGAGCACTCTAAGGACAATCGTTTCATTTGACTCTACATTCATATTTTTTTCCTTTTGATGTCAAGGCCTGGTCCTCAGGTGTGCCTCCAACACACGTTCCTAATTAGTTAAACTCATTGGTCATAAACTTGACATAATTAATTTTAGTTGAGCTTTGATTTTAGAGCAAAGAGTCTAAGTTAGTTGAACTTATTAAGCGCCAGGAGGAACGGAAACAAAACCTCTTTAAATTACAGAAAAAGATTTGTTATTTTTATTTGGCACTAACCTTTTTCATTGTATTTTAGTTTATAGACTTGAGGCTCCGTTTGGACTAAAGAATGAAAGGTTACTTACAGAGTTGAGGCTAAAGGTTTTATTTGTCTTTCAATTTCTTTTTTGAAATGAAATATGATAAGAACTTAGTGATATTATAATTAGTACAATTAGTCACTGATCAATCATATTGCTCAAATTATTATACGTCTATGATATCTTATTTCAACACATTTTTTCCATCTCACTGTGGTATATTTATAAGGAATATTGTCATGTTGTCAAGTGTGGAATATCACACATCAACCAAATCATATTGATCGCAAATAAAATTGCCTACACTACAACACAACTTTTGGAAATCAAAATGGTGAATAAATTGGGTTTTCTGGACATTTTGGAGTATGCTCACTGAAGAGTATGAATCTATGACACCCCATAGGGATTCCAGGTTACTGATTCATAACCATTCATATGCAATGTTTGATTCATACCTTATAGTTTGTGGATATTGAAAGAATATAGAGGTAGTAACCAAAGAAACATCACAAAAGACACAAAAAAATAAAGATGAAAAAAAAGTTTATCTTTTTTAACCAGAAATTAAGATAAATATGTTCACTGAAGAGTATGAATCTATCAATAAAATGAGAGAACATATTTTATTGAAAAATGATGAATTTTAAATGAGAGAAGCATAATAGGTATGATTCAGGTCCACAGATGTCAATCCAAAACCTTCAGCATAGTCTGCCAGACTACCATGAAAGTCCCAGCTAAGCGGGTTCACGGGAACAATCTTGAAGGCCCAAGGGCCTTTTGTGCTTAATTTGGCCAAAGTTTCCACCTCTTCCATCGTTTCAACCACTATCTTGGTGTGGTTCTTCAGATATGGTATGGCTTGCCAGAGAGAGCGGAAGCTCTGGGTAATGGAACTCAACAATTGGGACGATGCGTCAAGGTTAGCATCCATCAAGAAAAATGAGCAACACGATCAAAATTGGAAATCAAAATTGGGGAGGAGAAAATTTCTTTTCAATTTATGGATAACAAATGGCTGGAAGAGTGCAATTTCTAGTTGTTTATTTTAAGGTTCACACAACAAAACCATATAACTATTTAATTGCATCATTATGTTAATATAAAAATACTTGTGTTCATGTCTATTCTAACCCTTAAACATATTAATTTCCTTAAAGTTCTTTCTTTTAGTTCAAATATATTCATTATCAACAACTGGAAGCAGTCGGCTAATTGTAAGGCAAAAATTATATGACTTGTCTTTTTTCTACCCCAAAGTCTCTTATGATCAAATGTCTGAACAAGAGAATAGGCAATTCTAGTTCTTACACCAAACTTTTTTTATTTATTTTGAACTCGTTTTCCTCCCTTAACTTCTTCAAATTAAGTGTGACTAGTTGCTCCTCTTCAGACCCTCAATTTGATAAAGTGATTCAGATTATATAACTATTCCTTCAAATTTATCCATTGCATCACTGATTGAAATTGTGAAGTTTGCCCCATACTTGTCCCATATTGGTGTCATATGAAATATACTCAGTTTGCTACAATCAAAGGATGATGAGTCAAGAGAATACTCTATCTACTGTGTAGATAGAGAGGTTTATTGGTAATTTTGAGATCAATTTTCTTTAGTATGCATGCAAATTAGAGCATACAAATGACAAAAATCCCATACGGAAGATCATAATTACCAAACTTTAATTCGATCGCTACACAGTCAATGATATGCTTATATTTTACCTATTTATTATATCCTTAATTTGTCATTTTTACAATATATTTTGAGTACAAATATGCTATTTATGTGATTTTATCTTTAATTGTAGGAATTGTACTCAAAAGAAGGAATTGTTGAATTTTTGGGCTAAAATGAAGATAAAAGCAACTCAAAGGGGAGAATTTAAGATTTGATAAATTGACAAGGAAGAAATTGAAGCACTTGAAGAGTTGGAGGATTAAACAAGCAATTTTGAATTTTTTTGTTGGTTTATAGAAATTGGCCAAAACAGGACTTGCGGTTGATTTGGGATTGAAATTGGATAAGAATTTTAATCCCAATTTTAATTGGGAAATAAGTTTTCTTATTCCTGAAGAAATAGGGTTTGGCGAAAGCCTATTAAAGGAGCATAGTGTTCTATTTTTGAGAGACAAAAACCCCAAACCACCACCTTTCCCACCTCCGCTGACCACACCACCAAATTTTCCTCCACACAACTCCCTTTTTCCGCAGCCTCCATCTCTCTCTCTCACAAACCCCACGCCACATCAGCCCCCCAAATCACCACTTCCCCCCAACGCACCACCAACACCATAGACCAGCAACATCATCATCCCATTACCTCACCACCTCCTTGCTTCCTTGTCCATCATCCACGCACCAGCCCTTCTCACGCACAAAGCACCAAACAAAATCCACGCAGCCCCCTTCCACGCACCAAACCCCACGCGCAACACCATCATCACCAAGAGGAGCGGCATTGGATCAATTTCTGGACTCAACTTTTGGCCTACTTCTCTCGGATTTCATTGTTTTATTTACTTTTGAGATGATGTGTAGCTAAATTATTTAATCTAGGGTTTTGGATGTAGCCGCCGTACTATTTAATTTAATTTAAGTTATGATTGTGATTTTTTCATTAATTAATATTTATTATTCTTGTTTTTAATTCATGTCAATACCTGATCAATATTTGCATCCTTTAAGGTGCTAGCTGAAGTAGCGAGAGTGGAAGGCTAGTATTAGTTTGTAGGAATAATAAACTTAGGTAGTGAGCCACGAGAGTAGGAACACCGCCTTTGCGACTAGTAATTCCAAAGTTCTTAATGTACTTTTATTAATCCCTATAGTCACGAGATTATTCATAGGGTTAATCTAAATTAGAGGATTATGACACGAGAGTATATAATTCTTAAATTGATGAATTGTCGTGAGATTAATGAGAGTCGAAAGTCACATATCTATAGATTAAATTAAACTGAATAGTCGGTTGGTGAACCCTTTGCCCTAGGTTTTCCTTTTACTTATTTATACCTTTAAATAATTGTAATTGATAGTTTTAGGTTTAGATTAGTTTAAATTGATAAATTGTTAATCTAAATAATAATAAGAAATAATTTTAACCGGTACTTGGTAACCTTCTTTGTGGGATCGACCCTGCTTTCTGCTTTACTGCTAGTAATTGTA